GTCCTTAGAATTGGGCAATTTCTTGGAATATTGGGGTAACTGCAAAATGGGGAGGGGAGAGAGGTGGTGACTATAGAGAGTGTGGTGGTCAGGCAAAGGGCCAAGAGAAAAGTTTCCCAGAAAGTGTTGGATCTATTCTCTACCCTGCCAGAAATAGCCTCTCTTTTCACTGAATTTATCCATGATATGAGCTGTTGTTTTCCCCAAGTAAGGTTTTAAAAGCTTATAGACAGGGAATTACTTTAAAGCTGAGTTATCCATGGCTTCTTTATAAAATATACAAATTAAAACAAGAATGAATACGTAGGAAAAGCAAAGTTGGCTCTTGGGCGTGAAGCTTGCTCCCACAGTCATAAAGATGCAGACAGGTAGATCTATCACTTTAATTTAAAAATGAAAATCCCTTTAGAAAATTGGCAGACAGTCAGCCCTGGCCAAATGGGTTTGAAAGGATTGTGCTTTCTTCCGCTGTCAACTGGCTCCTGGAGAGCTGCTGCTGGCAAGCCCATTCATAGTAGGATTTGCAATGGAGCCTCCAATGTGCCATCACCTTTGGCTTTGGGGTAAGTTGGGAGAAGGCTTAAAAATAGCATCTATATACTGAGTATTTGGTACGTATCAGGCAGTGGAGGTTACCGGAACTGTCCAGGCAGTCATTTTAGGATAGATTCCATCATTAACTGCATTTCATAGAGAGTGCAATAGTTTTCTATTGGTGCTATAACAAAGAACCCCAATGTAATGCCTTAAAACAACTCAAATTTATCATCTTGTGGTTCTTTAGAAGTCTGATGCAGGTTTCCATGAAATAACATCAGGGTGTGTCTGAAGGGCTGCAGTCCTTTTTGAAGGCTGTAGGGAAGAATCATTTTCTTGCTTTTTCCAGCTGCTTGAGGCCACCCATATTCCTGAGCATGTGGTACCCTTCCTCCATCTTCAAAGCCAGCAAAGACTAGCTGAGTTTTTTAAAGTCACATCATACCATACTGTGACATTTTCTGCCTTCATTTTCCTTTGGGATTACTCTGGGCCCATATGGATCATCCTAGATAGTCTTCCCATTTCAGGTCAATTGACTGGCAACTTTAAGTCCATCTGCAACTGTAATTTCTCTTTACCATGTAACCTAATATAGTCACAGTTTCCAGGGATTAGGAAGACACCATCTTTGGGGAGCCATTACTCAGCCTCCACAAATAAAAAAGCTGAGGATTAAAGGAATGAAGACATTTATGTTGGGTCACAGAGCTAGCTGGTAGTAGCAAAGACTACATTTGACCCAAAGCCTGAATTGGGAGCAGGAAGAGAAGTAAAGAAGGAAAGTTGAGGAAATTTTTCCAGTATAGAGGACACTGACTTATGTTAAAAAATGCACTATTGGCTATAAGTCAATTTAACAAGAGGAATGTGTCAGTGGACAATTTGCTTTTTTAAACCACCTCCTTTATTCCCCCATTTAACCTGTAAAGAGTTTCCGTAAATCATAGTTCACCAAATTACATCAGCCTCATTCATAATACAGGTCTTTCTGGTGTCATAAAATATACCAATGCATTGGTATATACGACCCCACAATAGACCACACACAATTACAGGGATCCAGTGTGAAGGTGTCAGTATATGTACACACACATGCATACACCCCACCACGATGCATATTGAAACAAGTTGACCTGTTCCATATAATCTTCATGGAGAAGATTTGAATTAATAAGGTAGGAGGAGACAAGTCAAGGTTAATGTTAAGAAGGCTTTTTCTAGCAAGAAGAACAGTAAGCTACCCAACAGTGCAACTCTTTGCCTTGGGAATTAGCAAGCCAATGCTGGAGGAGCCCTTGGCACCACCATTTTAAGCACTTTAGTGTGCTTTCTTATTTGGGACTCCTACCACTTGCTTCTCTAAAAGACACATGCAAGGAGGGAATAAAAGTAAGAAAGGGCAGACGTTCTTTTGTGGTTTTGTGCTGACAGTTATTTCCTACAGTTCCTCCTTCCCCAGTGGAATCACTGAATATTGCAGGGATATTTGAGATGTCTTTGTCCAACTCTCCATACACAGATGAGAAAAATGAGCATCAAAAAGGTGAAATAACACACCACAGAGATGATTCCAGTAGAACTGCATGAAACATTGGGCATAGGTTCTAAAGTCCGATAAGCCCAGGAAAGTCACATGAAAATTAGACTAATAGCCCCTGCTGGAGACTGATGTGTGCTTTCCTGAAAAATCTAGCACACACAGCTTTTCACCCAGTACTGCAATAGAAGACCCTTTCCTTGGTGCATTTCCGGAACTGGGTTAAATGAAAAATAGGTGCTTTTAAATGTGAAAAGCACATGTCACATTGGAAGATGCTCACTCTGTCATAGGCACTGAGGCACAAAACTGAAGTGGGCCTAGGAGATATGCATCCCATACCTCACATCTATGTTAGGGCCTCTACCATCCCTAAGCAGAAGACCACATTCTGGAAGGAATTGAAGTCACTATAAGCTACAGTGTACATAGCCTCTGGGGTCAGGAAAAATGGTACAGTTTGCCTCCTTGATATTTGCTTGTGTGGGTTCTCAAACATTGTGCAGACAGGCCAGTTTCTTATCTAGTCTTTGGGGCCCTAAATGAAGAACTGGGTCTCTTGGGAACTGTTAGGTCTGACTTGTTTGGAAGGTGAACCAAAGTGGGAAGAAGGATATCTCTGAGCATGCCAGGTATAAAATTTTCTGGTGATATAGCAGAGAGTCAGGATCACCTTCTTTTTGCCTTTATCATATTATATGGGCAGATGTGTTTCCAAGGGTCCCAAACCTTGAAGCCTCTTGGATACAAATGGAGTTGTCTGCTCCGAGTATTTGCATTTGACTTCTTGTTTTGTCCCATTCTCAGGAATGTTAGTCATTATAAAATTCTCACTTTTCTGGAGGATATAACCTTTTGTCACGTTAAGATTAGTATTTTTACATATCTCCAAGGTTCTAATTATCTCACCTCCCCACCCCAGGGGCAGGTCTAATTCTCCTGATGGCAAAACTCACTGCTCCTTTTAAGAGGAGAATTCCTGGTCTTCTAGATGAGTATATCTAAAGGAAAGGGGAACCCCCCCTTTTAGGGACATTGATGGCATTACAAAAACTATGGCAGTAGAAGCAGAGATAGGTAGGGATCAATACTGGAGAGCCATGGGGAAAAAAAGGAATTTAATGGTATACTACTGAATATCAAGGGTCTTGATGTCATCAAATGCTAAGGGTATCACATCAGCTAGAGCAGACTTCCAAATGGTACAGGGTTCCCAGACACGTGGATGGACATGTTCTCTGGAAGAAGCAGAGATCACTTGGCAGTTTGGCAGGTGAGATGGTCCTGGGTAGGTGAATCTACCCTATGCTTGGGCCTCACGCTATGATTCAGTTCCTTGGAGGGATTGCTATACCCCCATTGAAGGTGTCCTAGTCTTTTCTCTGTCCCTATGAGGACAGCAGCCTCCCTCTCCACAAAGGACTGCTAGAGGATGAGGCCTTAACCTTGTCAGGAGTTAAAGGTAATCCAGGAGCTCTGGGAGGCTCCACCCAGACCTGATTGATACTAAATGTAAGGTGGTACAGTTGCTAAGGAACACAGTATGGCCATTCACCAGAAAATCAAAAATAGAACTACCACATGACCCAGCAATCCCATTTCTGGGAACTGAGCCAAAAAATTGAAAGCAGGATCTTAATGAGATGTTTGCGCAGTGCTGTTCATAGCAGCATTATTTATAAGAGCCAAGAGGTGGAATAACCCAAATATCCAGTCATGGATGAATGGATAAGCAAAATATGGTATGTACATACAATGGAATATCATTCAGCCTTAAAAAGGAAGAATATTCTGACACGTGCTACAACATGGATGAACCTTGCAAACGTTATGCTATGTGAAATAAACCGGACGCAGAAAGATAAATACTGTATGCTGCCACTTACCTGAGACCTAAAGTTGTCAGATTCATAGAAACAGGAAGTATAATGGTGGTTACTAGGGACTAGGGGAGGAGGAAATGGGGACTTGTGTAATGGGTATACAGTTTCAATTCCACAATATAAAAAAAGTTCTAGAGATTGGTTGCCCAATAACGTGAATGTATTTAACTCTACTGAAAGCTGCACTTAAAAATGGCTGAAGTAGTAAACTTTGTGTTATGTGATTTTTACTGCAATTAAAAATAAAAATTACTAAACATAAAACAAAATGCAGTTTAAAGAAGATGAGAGACTTAACAGTGATACCCAGCAACAAGCAAAAGAATCTGCCTTCCTAACAACTTTCTGAGATGCACTTCCCTTTAATTTTCCTGGTACGGAAGACTTTTGCAGAGATTGGTACATAAAGATTCCTAGGAGTGGCTGCCCTGAAAGGTGGTGAGTTTATTCAGTCAGCTTATGCTGGAAACCAGCCAGCATATGAGAATTACAATAGTTTAAGCTACAAATGCTCTGTTATGCTTCCCTGGAAAAAAAAATGAATGAATGAATGTCTAAATAAATAAAAGGTGATCCAAAACTCTCTGGCCTGTTGCCAGGATCAGGCTTGAGGAACTGCATTAAAGAGCCCACCCTGAGTTGTTCTCCACACCTACACGCTTCTCCGCTCCCGCTGGGCGATACCTCAGAGGCCTGGGAAACTCTGCTTGGGAATGGACAATAATGAATAAATGAATGGGTCTTTCTAGTTCGCTTTCATTGCAGCTCCACCTTCATCCCCTCTAGGGCCCCAACCATGCTCCCCCTCTCACGGTGCTCTAGATCCTGCTGTGGGTTCCCGTATCGTTTTGTGCATACTGATGTCTGAGCGCTTCCCGTGCTATGTTATAATACGTTGCCACCTGTCACTCACCCATGCGTCTGTGGGTTCCTCTGAAGAAGAGATTTTTGACAAGTAGCACAATGTGAAGAATACTGTTGATGCTTAATGAATCAGTGCTGTAAGATGATGACATCAGCGATTGTTTTTGTATTCTCAGGCCACGAGAATGTCCGTTTTGAACAACTCCCCATACGGATGGAACAATTCTGATCGTATCCTGGGCCAGTTATTCTGTTCCAGCTCAGAACTTCTTCAAGCTCCACCTTCAGCGACCTGACTTGCTTCGTTTCTCCCGTCTGTCACCTCTTCCTGAAATACACGTGTGTGGTTTCTGTTTGACTTGTTTGCGTTATACATGTCATTAGCCGTGTGTGGGTGTCCCTACACCTCATTATCTCCTGAGCTTCTCAGGGACCAAGTAGCCAACTCATTGTCTGCATCGTCCCAAAGCATCACACACAGGGATACCACGTTTAAAAGCAGTGACTGCTTGAGAAGTATCTGACATGTCAAAGGCATGATGGACACGGCTCCTCCTCCTTCTGCCAGGATCTCCAAATGTGAATTCGTCATCTTTTGTCCCTCAACCTGCTCGCTTTTCTGAATTCCTTGAGGGGTGGTTGCTTACATGTTTTTTGTGTATTTGTTTCAAAAGAAAGTGTTCTATTTTTCAAAAATATTTTTAATGTTCTATTTATTTTTGAGAGAGAGAGAGACAGAGTGTAGCGGGGGAGGGGCAGAGAGAGAGGGAGACACAGAATTTGAAGAAGGCTCTAGGCTCTGAGCTGTCAGCACAGAGCCTGATGCGGGGCTCAAACTCAAACTATGAGAGCATGACCTCAGCCAAAGTCAGATGCTTAACCAGTTGAGCCACCTAGGCACCCCAGAAAGTGCTTTTCTTGGTATCACCAAACTTTCTCCCACTCTTCAGACTTGAACACTTACTGTGAACTTTGACCTGGCTTTCTTCATGGTTGCGCCCTCCCCCCAGTCAAAACTGTCGGCACTAACTGTCATCACCCTGTACCAACTGGCACCCAGGCCAGGGGCTTTATATCCCAGCTTCCATCTATTGGAATTGGGGCAGAGTTTTGAGAAGATGTTGATGCCTTATCTGGGCTCAGCAGAAGAGAATACAGTATTCTAATGAGTTAAAGGTCTCTGTTGTGAGTGGAGTTGAGTGGATTTGTGGCCCAAGCACTGAGATTCTGTCACGTCTGGCCAAGACAAGCCTTTTCCCCCTGATTCCTCATCCAGTGCATCCTACATTCTGACCCAAAGTTGACTCTTTTAATTAGCACTGTGGAATCTTGCTTCCTAAAAAAAAATGATATCCCATTGCCCAAGCCATCTGCCAAGCTTTCCCAGCCACTCACAGGACTCTCCACTGCCTACCACCTACAGGCTCATTCATGCCCAGGAGCTGAGCTGGTCTAGATTAAGACAGGAAATATATCGGCTGCCTCAGCCTCTCCAGATATGGGGCCTAGAGTTAATCGTGGCTGCCCACAGACCTGGTATCTGCTCCACCTCATCTAGGCCCTAGATGCCAACTTAGCCTCCAGGTCATACCACTTTTTATCTTTTTCCTACTTCCCCTTGCCCCACACCCTCAGACATACTGGTCCATGGGTGGTTCTGAGGTCCTACCACAGGTTACCTGGCTGTTGTCAACAGCTTGGTTTGAACATCACCTGCTTATTTAGGCTTCCAGGAATTTAAGACTTGCCAGGTTCCCTACTCCCAACCCAGGCTGGTTTCTGGCCGTAGGTGAGCAGCTTTTCCAGAATGACATGGGGGATTATGGGAATCTTCTAGGGAGTCAAACCCATCCAACTACCCCCTTCCTACTATTAGCCCAGCATGGTCCTTGGATGAGACTGCCGTATACTCTGGATACTACATAGTACTACGTGGCCTAGAGAAGCCAACAAGTTCCTTACTCTTTCCTTTTCCCAGCGGTCCCAGTGAGTCCCTTGTTTAAACAGAAGAATTAAAACAGTATCATTTACAGAGCACTTGCTATGTACCAAGCCCTTGAATAAGTTACTTGTACGCATTACCTCACCCCACCTTCGTAAGGACCCTGTGAAACAGGTACTGTTGGGACGCCTGGGCCTCAGTTAACCATCTGACTTCTACTCAGGTCGTGATCTCGCAGTTTGTGGGTTTGAGCTCCATACCAGACTCCATGCTACCAGTGTGGAGACTGTTGGGGATTCTCTCTCTCCCTTTGTCTCTGCTCCTCCCCGATGTATAGTTTCTCTCTCTCTTATAAATATATAAGTAAATAAATACATGCATACATACACAAATACATAAATAAACTGTATGCTTTTTCACTTTACTAGAGATTGCAAACTAGTAGCTCCTGGTAAAATGTTGACCAGGGTTATATTTGGTGACCAGAACTTTTTGGTTGCTTGTTTACTTAGGGCCAGTACTTTAAAAGTCAGGAGATGTCACATAAAAATTCAGACATATGTCCTCTCTTTATGAAATTGGAAGGCCTGGAAACCTAGGTTCCATGTCCCTCAAGGCAAAATCAAAAACAGCTGAGAAAAGTCTGTCCTTCACATGGAGTGGAGCTCATCAGTTTGCCTCTGACTATGCCTTATGGCAGTGCCGCTCAGACGTTACTATCCGTCAGAACCATCTGGAGATTGCTGGGCTCCACCCCGGCGTCTGTGATTTGGCAGGTGGGAGTAGGGCCCGAGAACTTGTCCTACTGTAACCCACGTGTTGCTTGACACCTCTCCTCCCCTGTGTGCTGTTGCTATTTTTACATTCCAGCCCACCCACCTGCTTCTTATACCTCAGTGCTCCCTGTGGGCATCTGAGTTTGTCTCCCCGGTGCTTTGTTACACCAACAGTAAGGAATCAGGGCCCTCTCCTCTGTTCCTGAACTCCCACTAATCTCCGACCTGAATCTTAAACCATTCCTGTTCAACTTTTTCTTTCAGCTCTTACAAAAACAACACAACTTCTTTCTTTATTTCACAAAAGCAGTAGAAGATTTAATAAATAGCACCCAGAGAGGCGTGTTGTAATACCTTCTTCCCCTGAGCTGGAAGGGACAAGCAGAAAAAAGACATCTTATGTACGTGAAAGATAAGAGCTCCTGCTAACATGATCCTTTGACAGATCAGATTGAAAAGCTGTAGGATCGGGGCGCCTGGGTGGCTTAGTCGGTTAAGCGTCCGACTTTCGCTTAGGTCATGATCTCGCGGTTCGTGGGTTCGAGCCCCGCATCGGGCTCTGTGCAGACTGCCAGCTCAGAGCCTGGAGCCTGTTTCAGTCTGTGACTCCCTCTCTCTCTGACCCTCCCCTGCTCACACTGTCTCTCTCTCTCTCTCCTACAAATAAATAAAACCTAAAAAAAAAAATTTAAAGAAAAACTGTGGGATCTACACAGAAGCAAGCACTCCATCTCTTCTGTTATTCCAGGAGCACCTGGTTCATGGTCTCGACAAGCTCTCTTCCCTGGTTATAAAAAGTCAATCTAACTACTCCAGGAGAAATCTCTTGAGACATTTATGCAGTGCATCAATTCAAAATATGCTCATGAGGTCTTCACTGTGCCTGGAATGCCTTATTACAATCTTCAAGACCTATCTCAGATGTCGCTTAGTCAAAATGCCCTTCCTGATTAGCCTAGGCCTAAAAACTCCCTTCTCTCTGAGCTTCTATCATGCCCATTTCCATGACAGTCAGCCCATACCTCCCTGAAATATAAAATAACTATGTTGCCACTTATCTCAGCTATGAGATTATAAACTCTTTTAAAGCATAAGATGAGACCACCCAACCTTGAAGCCTGAATTATGCCTGGGATGGTGCTTTGCTTTTAGGTGACACTAAGGTCAGACTTCTGAACTTTGAGATGAATAAAGGGACTGAAACACAGTGTCATGGAGAGGGCAGCGAGCAGAGTAGAGGTTTACAGACATTTGGGACCACCTGAAGTGCTTAGTTAGTAAGGGCCTATCCCCTTGGGCACCACTGAAGGTTGGAGCACCAGATAATGAGCCCTGCCATGATAAAACTGGCACAACCAACACACATGACCAAAGCTGAGAACACTTCGCAATGTGAGCGCTGAACTTTGTGAGAAAGAAGAGAATATTGGATAAGTAAAAAGTTAAGAAAAGAACATAATGAGAGTGAGCTAGAAAAATGGAGAAGACTGTACAGAATAGGTCAGAGATCGCATATGCAGATGATACAGAATGTACAACCAGATATTTACTTAAGTAAGGGTGGTTCAGTTTTCGACTGCCAAGTTCATGAACATTTTCTCAGGTTACCTGCTAAAAGCTTTATTATTTTCCTTTGCACATTTAGATCTAAAATCCGTCTAGAATTGATTTTTGTGGATGGTGTGTGTTAGAGGTCAAGGTTCACATCTTTCAGTATGGATATGAAATTGACTGGGTATCATTTTTTGAAAAAAAGAAAAAACAAAGCCCTCCTTCCTTCTATAGTACCGTGGCAACTTAACTGTAAAAATAGATGTCAAGTATGTATACATTTATTTCTGGACCTTGTTCCTTCATCTATTTTTCTATCCTTGTCTCAATACCACATCATTTTTTTTTGTTTTTATTTTCTTTAAATAACTGTCACTTTTAAGACCTTGATATTTAGTAGCTCACATCCTCTAACTTGATATTTCTCATGTTTGGTTTTTTGCTGTTCTTGGGCCTTTATGTTTCCATTTTAAATTTTAGAATCTATGTCAATTTCCACAAAGAAGTTCTGGGATTTTGATTGGGATTTTATTGTAGCTAAAGGTTAATTTAGGAGGAATTGACAGTTTTTCTAGTCCAGTCCCAAACTGACCTATCCTTTCATTTACTTAGATTTCTTTTTATTTCTTTAGCTCGTGTTTTGTATATTTCTCTGGTGATGTTTTACATTTTTAAAAAATTTTATTTGTTCCTAGGTAAGGTTTTTAGTTCTATTTTTACTTACATGATTGAAGATTTTTATTTTCAAGTTGAGTCTTGCTAAGGTATAGACATATAATTGAGTTGTTTATGTTGATCTTGTCTCCAGGGACCTTGCTAAATTCACTTATTTTAATATTTTGAACTTTGAAATTTATACACAATTATGTCATTGTGAAAAATGACAGTTTTATTTCTTCCTTTCCAATCTTTACATACATCTTTTTTTTCTTTAAATTATTTCACTGTCTGAAAACTTAAGGTTTGAATATATGTATTAAAAATGGTCATCTTGGCCTCATTCCTGATCTCAGGAAGACTTTTAAAAAGTAATTTTACTATTATGTATGAAATTTGATGTAGGTTTTTTTTTTTTCTTAAGATTTTATT